AAAGCAATGGAATATCCAAACTACCCCTCGTCTTCGTGCCCACACATCAAAGGCATACCGCGTCCGGTGTTTTGATTAACTGTCACGTGAGAGTGTATGTAAATTTATTGCGTCTACAACGGTCGTTGGGGCGTCTAGCAAAGTGTCTGGGGATGTTGCAAAGTCTCTCGGTAATTACCTACCGGGTGCGCGAGTTAGGTGTATGTAAATATCTTGCGCTCGCTGTAAAAACAAATCCAATATACCCTTTGAATGTGACGTCACTTAGACACCACCATGAGACAATCCACAGATTATTTTCAAAAAGGTAACTATTGGTGACAAGGTCACTGATATCAAAGCAATAATCATTTACAAGACAGAATTTCATTGGTGTCCTACAACTCAAGCATGCATAAAAGGACCGTGTATTGCAAACATGTTACAGTTCAACTCAAGCCGGCTCAACTCTCCAATAAATTCTCATGGATGAACTCCTACAAAGTTCAGCCTGACATAGCCTGACATAGCCTGACATATTAAACAAGAAACCCAAAGTGAAAATCATGTTTGGCCACATCCGTATGAATACAAAAAAGATAAATCTCCTGTTAATTGGAGTGAGAAGCTTAACCTAGCATATATATCATCACATGGAATCTCTAATAGGATCAGCATAACCATGAGCTGTATCTGTTTCAAAAAGTCAAAACAATACATTTCCTTACAAGACAGATAATGTAAACAAAATGAGCCAACTGTGCCTGATGATCACATGCTGCAATCTACAGTGCAATACAGCAACTGTGTGCAATTCCATAGATCTTTTAGAGCAGTGGCCATTTATCTTGACCCGAGTAGATTTTCAATAAAACAGGAAGTAATTCCGTTACACCAGGCAGCTCCCTGGTTACACTAATTTCATTACTAATTAGGACATAAGTAATTAAATCCAGACTGAATCATGGAACGTTTGTGTTTCAAAAGAACATAATCCAATGAACACAAAGAATGAGGCGGGGAGGGGGTCGATTTCTAACCGCCTTATTGAGAAAGTATACCGTCGAACAAACGAATTAATCATGACAGATTTTAGACAACGTCTGTGGAATAATAACACACTGCCCTAAAGTGCGCCCGGTCAACACAGCACTTACAATACAAACGTGGGGCAAGTTTGCATGGAGATATCACTAGAAAATAACACGCGTGTAACGTAACTCTTTACAATGACTGTCGTACATTTGCAAAACGTGCCGAAAGTGACCAATGTAAATACATATATACAAAGATATTATTGTCAACTACACTTGTCTGCAAATTTGTCAGTAATCACCATCGCCCGGCGTTTCCTTCAACTGTGACTGTTATCATTGAAGGCGATCATAAGTCGGGCGAACTGGGCAGTGCAACGACTAACCGAGACAGAAAATGCATGAGATGAGATAACAGGGCATAAACTCACCGTTACGCAAATCAAGAGTCTATCCGCAACTTTGGCACGGAATTAAAGAGCTGTATGTCACAGACATAGTCAAACATCACCTAAACCTCCTTCTATCTTTCGCCATTTTGTGTTTTATTTAGAACACGCCTACTCACTACATTATGCCGCGTGACGTCACATTCAGCCTAAATAGTGCCAATTGATCATAAAATATTGCCATTATAATGGCAACATTATTTTCTGTACAACAATGATTCAATTATAATGTACTAACTGGATTATAACATCTGTGATACAACAACAATATTTTATGTATGATAGTTGCGCGGTATAATATTGCTGGTTTGTTTGTTACGCGGTCGTAGGAACCAGCCATGTTTTGGCAACACAAATAAGTTACCCTTGTTCGCATCATTCAAAATTATAATTAATTTTTTGACTGTGAATATATTTTATCTGTATTTAAGTCAATTATATGTTTTGAATTGAGTGTATTTTAATAATACAAAATGGATGCAAAGTTTATATAAATGTTTGTGTTTATACATTGTAATAATAAATTATTCTTGAACGAGGATAACGCAGCTTGAATAGAAAGGTCAACCTGTGTCACACGTGATTTTAAATACAAGTGACCACGATCTGTAAGATTTACTTCATCTCCGTGATTGCATCTATTTCAGATAGTTCAAACATGCCATCTGAAAGAAAAGTGCATATTCTTGACGAGAAGGACATTCCATCGCAAGTGTGCGCCTTCGTAGCGGATAAAAGCAGACATGCAATTGAATCGCGTGGTCAATTTAACGTGGGCGTGTCCGGTGGTAGTGTGGCTAAAATTTTAAGCACTGGCATGCCCGGTTTAGAAAATATTGACTGGACGAAATGGAAAGTATTTTTTTGCGACGAACGTCTAGTGCCATTTGACCACGAGGACAGTACATACAAGTTTTTTAAAGTAAGTTTTCATGTCCGGGGGGATGGTTCGAGTATGGAATAATGGTAATCTGTGATTGATGACATCATGATGTAGCGGGTTGACCATTAGAAATCTTGGAGGTGGGGTTTTGTAGAGAAAAAATAATCATACAGGCACAATGACAAAAAAAGCTATAAAAAAACTGCACACATTTGATAGAAGAAGGCAAAACATTTTTTGTTACAGAAACATAATCCTGAGAAATACCCGAGTACACGAGTATTGATCTGCTGGTAACTTAGCTGTGGAATCATAGCCCTATGTTGCCGACCGCATTGTTTACGTGACTGACTCTGCCCGGCCCAGAACAACAAAATTAAAAAAAGACGTCCAAATGAAATTGTTAGGGCGAAATTCGATTGTAGGTCGCACCAAAGAGCTACGGAACCGCGGCTACTGGTAACTATGGCAGTGACTGCTCATTAACCATGGCATTTATTGCAATGTCATGAAGAATGGGATGATCGTAATTAAGGCATATATCATCTAATATATCACCTGGAAATGTTATAGCTGTCATTCATTGTTTGACAAGTTAGTATACAGATCAGTATGTTGTATTTATCAGCCAATCACTGAAAGTGAAAGCAAAATGCCTGGGCTATCTAGCTCCAATCTAACTTCATCTACTATCTTCCACCTCAGAGTTTCTAATGGCCAACCTCAAAACTTATCACTGGAATGCCTATATGTATATTTAATCACTCTTTAAAAGGTAGAATGCTACTTGCACAAGTTTATTACATGTGTGCATATTTTAGCGCATATAGTAGTACCAATATGTGTCAAAATTTGATGTCAAAGTCTGTCTACAATTATTCGTTTTAGTCAGCAATATGTGATTTTTCTGGGTTCACTGTCAATTTGATTTTGGAAAAAAACAATACACATAAAATACTATTTTAGCAGTGGTTTCCAAAAATCACAATGAAAACACATTTCCTCGTTAAAATCACACTAATAATATTGTAAATTTATTAATACTGCTAGATATTAAAAAGCTCCTTGTAAGACACTATATATATATTTTTTTCACAATATGTCACAGAACAAAATTTTAAGATGTTGAGCTCTAACCTTGCAATAGGAAACAATGGTAAAATGCGCAAAAGACAAAACATGCTATTTTCACTGTTTATCAATTGATTTTCTCAGAGAACAGTGACCCAATATTTTTATTTAATTTTCTTCATCCTAGTAACATGATATATCAAATATCTAAAAATAAAGAAAATGACAATATTTTTATATTTGTTACATTGTAGTGTTTTACTTTTAGTAAAAGTGTGATTATTTTGATTTAATTATTTTGACAGAAAAACATGTTCAATAAAGTGAACATTCCATCAGAAAATATTTTCCCCATTGATCCATCATTGAGCGTTGAAGATGCAGCAAAAGATTATGCAAAGAAGGTGGATAAGGTTCCAAAAGAAAACAATCTTCCTGTGTTTGACTTGTTGATATTAGGTATGGGACCTGATGGACATACATGTTCCTTGTTTCCTGGCCATAAATTACTACAGGTAAGGTCAATAAATAAATAAATACCTACATAACATTCCTAATTAAAAGCATCACTTTCGTTGTGCAATTTTATTCACTTCCAAATTTTGAATTAAATATGCACGGTCTATATAAACCAACCAATGTACTGGTGCTTCTAAAGGAAATTTCTCTGATTGATTGATCTGCAATTGATTTATTTCACTTCCACGTGTATAACCACAGCAATAGATGTGTAGTATCTTCTGAAAGGAGCAAACTGATTGAATTCAGTGATAAAGTGTCATTTGCATGTGTCATGCCATTTGGATCTGCTACTGTAAAGTACCCGGTACTCTATCTTCGCCTCTAGTTTTAGAATTTGCAGTTATTGTTCCCGTACATTTGCATACTGAAATTAAGGCAGTTGGGCCGTATACACTAGTCCTGCATAATGATCAATTTATGAATATTTATGATCTTATACAAAAACTTATAGAATGAATAAATAGCCCAAAAGCCATTGATTGTCATAAAGTTCCTGATAAATCAATGAGCAGCATGTCTATCAGATCTACCGTTGTGCGAGATTCGAGTTTAAACACAACCTTTGTGGTTTCTCCTTAGTACAGTAAAACTTGGGCGATGTTTCATTTTTGATGTCTACTGATCTGTATAAAAGTCCTGGACAATTTATGAGAACAAAGGTGTATAAAAGTTCCAGGAAAATTCGGGAAAAAACAAGTGTAGTTCTGCAGTGGAGCATTCTGATAGGACAAAAAGAATTAGGTGTTTTTAATTGAGGACGTTTACCTCAATTATGATTTTGTCTGCAATAGTTCAAATTTTGGTCTGTAATGTCTAAATTTGTAGTTTTGTTTCTTCACAGGAAACTGAAGTCGCAGTTGCCCCGATTAGTGATTCACCAAAACCTCCACCGTGTCGAGTTACATTATCGTTTCCTGTTATCAATGCTACGAGATGTGCTATGTTTGTATCAACAGGTGCTGGTAAAGCAGATATTTTACAGGTATAATTAATGGGGGAGAGTGGGAGATTGTAATGTTCAAATGTGTTAATGTCCATGTCTAGTAGATTCACAGATAAAATGTTTACTTTTACAAAACATCAAAAATAGTCGCTAGAAAAGGAGTATGCATATGATGTGTAGACAGTTAGTTGTGAAAGGAATTCGCGAACTCAAATTATATGAAATTTTAAAATAATTGTATTGATCTTTTTTTTTTTCAAATTTTCTCTTTTTGGTGTAATTGATAATCTATGATGATGAGAACCCTAATACATTTTTATCCATTTAAATTTTTCAGAAAGTCCTTGAAGGAAATGATTCTGCTCCTCTACCTGCTGCTAGGGTAAAACCAACAAATGGTGAGCTGCATTGGTTTCTGGATACAGCTGCGGCTGCTGGATTGAAAGCTAAATACTAAATCCATTCGGTTGTCAAACCTACAATTTGTTCTGAAGTGTATATAAAAGATTCTCAGAATTCAGTAAAAATGAGTTGTAAAACTAGTCTGGATATTGTAATTAAAAAAAAAACTACATGTATATGGACAACCATATAATTTACTCTTTGGATATGGGCATATCTCAAGGTGTTCATATAGCTGCAATGATATTACCGGGTATGTACTCTTATGTAATTTAAACGGCTCAGCAGGATCAGCATGCTTTACACCTATAAGTGCTATTGACAGCAGAGACATAGACCACAGGATAAAAATATGATGCTTTTAAAGAAAGTCATTCAATAAAAAAGGGAGAATGTGCAAAGGTAAACACTACTTGGCTGCTTTGATAAATTTCTTCTAACGTGGAACATTAGGGGATTCCGGCCTGTGATACCAGTTATTTGTATGCATGTGACAACTTATGGTAACGTATTAGCTCTATTGAAAGCACATTTTTAATAGAGCATATAAACCCCAAATCACATTTGTTGTATACTGAATCATTAAAATATTCCTTATTTTGACCATAGAAACATCTCTGTAATTTACAACAGAATATTTACTAGTAATAGAACAATTATGGTATCGCATTTCTGTGTTGGTTTTTAATGGAAAAGTATACAAGTGCCTCTTATTTCTGATTTTAGAAATAAATTTAACTTTATTTTCTCTGGGAAAAATTAAATATTATTGTTGATATTAACAGATGACACTAAGCTAAGTCTCTGAGCAATTAAGTTGACTAAAAACAAGGCTTAAATGGATCACTGCATGAAACAGATGACAATTTTCAATTTTCTGGAAAACTTGTACCAATTTTGCTCAAATTGCCACCACCTTGCTTCATGGAATTGTGAATATTGAGTAAAGTTTGTTTTAGTCTTGAGTGAGAGAGTTCAGTGTATAATAAATCTGTGAACTCATTTTATTATTTAATTACTTGCATTATGTCTGCAAAATGCAATCTCAAACTACAATTGATTCAAATATGAATGTTGACAATTAAACATTTAATCTGTTATTCTACATTCCTTTATTCACCTAAATTTCAGCCCCTTTATAATATAGGTCATGTTACCAAATGTCACCTGTGTCTTTATTAGTCCCTACTGGGACATAATTTGAAAATGAGGACTTGTTTCAATTCAGTGCATCCACACCTGTATCCAAGACATTCCTAGGCCAATTGAATTCAAACCTGCATGCATGGTTAGGTACAAGTGCATTTGTTTCATGATTCAATTCACAATGTTGCAAAAACGAGCATTTTAGTGCTAAAAATTCAGGTCATTAATTCCAGAACCAGAATAGTCTAATTGCAATTTGGCCCATTGAAGTCTGTGTGTTGACGTCACACGTCCTCTCCAACCAATATAATATAAAGTATTAAGCAGGGGAGAAGTCTGCTTGTCGTAGCGTATCATTGTTTACCAATGACCCTTTGCGTTTTTTGCGTGTGTTATTGCTTGGGACTCGATTCCCACGCATGCGCAGGTGATGACCCTCCCGCTTTAAAATAAAGGTTTTCGTATATGTAATGTACATGTAACTTGCATGAACTGTGTTCCCATTTTTAGTAAGTATATCAAAATTTTATTCTGTGTCACTTAAAACTTGGTGCTGTTGACCAATCAGAATGCTTTGTTGCTAAACTTTATATACACTAAATTTCCTTTTTTCTATCTGACTTGTTGTCTCTAGATGAAACCCTGGCTCAGATTTGCCATGCTGAGAAAAAAAAAATCTTAGATCTTGAATAATCATGCAGATCTCGAGTCTCTGGTCCACCTGTCACAATTTCAGTATGCAAATTTATACCATATATACCATAGCCATAGTAATGGACCATCATATTTGCATGACCAGATCTGTTTTAAAAACAATTCCATAGAGCACACTATTAAAAGAAAAATTGCATTTTTTGGCACTTTTTAAAACCCAGATTTGTGAAATAATTGAGGACAACAAAAAGTACCTCATCATTCACAATATATAATTTTTATAATATATAATGTCACCAGCCTACAATTTGAGATATGGCATAATATTTCTGCCATAGGAACCTATGGTAAAATTGTTATAATACTGTCAATATGGCCATATCCACTAGAATTCAACCATCATTTTCCTGAAAATTAAACTGGTGATCCCTAACTCTTTTTAACTCAATATCCTTATATTGCCTGGAATACAATTTATTGAAAAATGAATAAATTCTGTGTTTTTTTATTTATGAGTAGGCTTCTACCTTAAATCTATGTGGGGTGTCCCATTTTCTTGTTTTCAAAAAAGTTTAATGAGCTGCGCATGAGATTTTAATCTATTATGACAAATAACATGCAAATAAATTTGGATAGCGTAGACAACATCATTGAGTTTTGAAACGCCCTCTACGATCCGTACCTTATTATTACATGGATTGAAACAGCGCCGCTGACGCATAGAAGTGAAAAAATGTCCACACTCCGCGCATCAACACTGGTATACAACAATTAAACATGAGATTAACGCAAGAACAGAAACAATCACAAACATGAAGAATATGTGCAACTTGTTAGTGAATGGAACATGTATGCAAATGAATTCAATTTATAAATATGTCCAGATTACCCACTTCACACTCACTTTATAGTGTTGTCGTATTACCCCCATAGTGACACACGTGATGATACAGGATTTACCGATATTAAAACACGCATGCATTTGATATAGTACTAGTATTTGTATCGCACGTTAATTGTAGTGAGTTGAGTAAATACCGATGACTATTTACTGTAATGCAGGGTGTACAGTCCTGTTCGACACGTAATATATTACGTAATGTACCCAAATATAGAAAATGTGTCATTTGTAAATTCAGTAGTTGCATCATTTAAATTATTTTAATGCAGAATATCAATCACTCAAAACTAAGGACAACTGCAACTACTGAAAATATTGAAACTAGTATAATGCAATGGACTTGAATAACTTAAATGTGTAACAACGTGATACCTATGTATGTTACGTTTTAGACGATCTCTATATAGATGCCAGAGGATAATACATAAAACATGCAATTACAAGTGAACTAGCATTACATTTCATCTGAATTTTGATAAATTAACATATACTGTAGTAAGGACTTTCTTCCGAGCACTTTCATTTACTAGTAGGCAGTTCCAACTTGCCAACTTTATCAACTAAAATACGTGTGAAGTTCCAAATGCTAAATTAATTAAAAGCGATCGCGCATGATTTGATTAAATACTTTGCAGAGAACTGATTTAGTCTTGGCAAATTAGAATACAAGGTAACATATGGCTATATCGTAGATGTTCTTCCAACATTCACGAAACACACTTTATTCGCCTACATCGCAAACACAATATTGGTTTAGTTGTTTGGCCGGGTAGCACTAGTATCTATCATTATCCGGATAATGTCCATGACTTGTGATTTAAACAATAATACCATCTATATCAAATGATATGAGTAGAAGTGATGTGATTTATTGATTACATGAAATAAATAAATGAAATTTACATTAAATTGCTAAATGTTAATAATCACAATGCAGAGGTCAATCAACTTGAACCCTACTACAGTGTGCATTTTGTCTATTCAGTGTTTAGTGTAACTGCAATGTACTACGAGAATGGCGTACCGACACTCTCGTATTGCAGCTATGCGTCATAAAAATTACATTCACAAATTACAAGGGGTGCTTGCGCTCGTATTATACGGCAATGTTTAAAATGAAATGATGGTTACGCTACGACGACAAAATGTGTTGCTGTTTCATGATCAAGTTGTTGTTTTTATAAATTTGGCCAATGCAATATTCATTGCAATGTTTTCCATTATTATTATAAATTTGTTTTCTACTGTCAAATTATTTTCTTACCGGCATCCTCATATAATCTCTTTCCTTGATCGCTGTAAAAAGGGCATGTTGGTATAAAATGGTATTCGTCTTTTACTTCAACCTTTGAGCAAAGATTGCAGATTTTTTTTTTTTTTTGGTAATTTCGTTTTTTTTTTATTAGTATGTCTCCTTGTGCCGATTTGGAGGTCGTGGTTACATAAATGGAACCTCGGTTTGTTTTTCCTTGGTTTGATAGTTTCGGTGTTGCCTGATTTATTTCTTTTTTCCAATGAATGATGAATATTTTTACTACTTTTTCTGTTAATTGTTATTACGAAATACCATTTACTATTTAATTGTATGTTTGATAACGCTGCTTCCTTTACCAGTTTGTTTGATGTGTCCATTAATCGGTTACTGTAGCAGTGTTTATTCATTTGTCTTTAAATAAATAAAACCTGAAAAAAAAACTTGTTTTGACAAGATAATTCAGAAATTTATATTAAGAATAATTCATAACAAAATATATTCCCTATGCACCCATAAATAATTTTCATAATTACACAAGAATATACGGAAAAAAGATAATTTGCTATATTCTCTATATGTTTGCCTTTTGTTTAAAATCGACACTATTAAACCTGAACTCCGTAATACTGGGAAATCGTTAAATTTGTAGATAATATTAAAGATTTTGTGTACTGCCTCTACGAGGAAGGGTTAACCATATTTAATAATTTCATTGAATACTTCCTCTTCCGCCGTTTCTTTGTTTTTTATTAGTCTTTTTTTTGGCTCTCCAGGAATAATGTCGGTATTATTTAACGCGTTGTGTTGCAACTCTTTTAGTTCATGAGTGAAATTATTGTTAAGGACATTCTTATCTGTTTTGACGTCGCACGATGGGTTTAATAACCATATCACACATCGTACTAAGTTCGGCGGAACGTTTGTAGGTATATTTAAAATTAATTCAAAATTGAGGATTAACCTTTAAAGCAAGCTTGGCGACTAATATTTGTCTGTAATTTGTACAACATGGAAACAATGTGTTTGATTACAGTCTGATTTATTCCAGATCGCTTCTACTAAAAGTTCAATTTAAATCTGATTATTTGAAATATCAGAAATTGGCTAATAAAAATTAGTTAATATGAATGTTTTTCGTCATTAAACTAATCCCGTCTATGAATTACCCCAGAACATCTATTCACCACATTTCAATGAAATGTGACAATTTTGCAATTAGTATGATTGAGTTTCAATCCAAAACTATAATTAGATCTGCAGAATTGTTCCCATGCATTTATATAATTAGTATCATTACAATGCAAATGTTTTTTTTTAGATAAAGGTGAAAAACTGGTTAATTATTATACCAATTAGGTAATTAATATGTATGGTTTCAGTTCAAAACTAATTAGATCTAAGCAATGTCCCAGGCACCCATGTACCAAATTGCACCAGAATGCGATGATTAATTTAAAATAAATACATAAATGAGGTCATCAAAGACGGCTTACGATTTCCACGTTACAGTGCATGAACCGAGCGTGCAAAGCTTTCACGTTTTTCAGTGCATCATCATCCGGTGTCGATAATATGGGCTTTGTAATGATAATTGTACAACTGTCATTAAGATTTCATCATGCTATATCAAGATTACACTGTCCGTGAATTCATTAGCAATTTACACCTAGATGAAATTTGTAATCGACATAAAATAATAAACCGTTTAATTTTCACTGCTAAACATTTTCGCGATGCCAGCATTTTATGGCATTTAAGAAGACAACATTTCCTGTCGCGGAACACTAGATTTTTTAGTTATTGCTACAAAACGTCGCGTTTTCCACCGACTCTCGAATTTACTCTCGAACTTTCGGTTTACAGTGGTTGTTAGGTTTATAATTGTTGTTGGTGACAGTATCTATAATAATATTTGTTTCCTCTATCGTGTCTATGATTGATGCATTATTATTATTATGCATGCATCCATTGTCTCCAAATTCCCGGATCAAAATAATTTCCTCAATATGTCCATTAGCAACACGTCTGACATTAATTGCTTCATTTGTGAGTTTGATTGGATAATATTGTCAGCCTTTCAGCGACATAGACAACTGAAAAGTCGTATTACATGTAAAGGAAACGCATTGTAGTTTAGCCTAACAGTCGCACATACTAAAGATCGTAGGATTTTAAATCTCCGACGATGCGACCTGTTCACTTATCATTGTCATTGATGAAACATAACTACTTGTTTATTTTCCATAAGTCAGTGCTAATTCGGGAGCTGATGAAGATTGAGTCGGAAAAATAGACAACCTCGACATTTTATCATGGGTTGGAACTTAAATCCCAGAGTCCACATACTCGGGCTTTATCCTATACGATTCATCATTGTCATCGCCGATTATTACATCTGAATGTACACAACGTGAAATGAGCATAATTGTGAACTTCAACTTTATGTTGCCGAATGTGTCCCTTTAATCAATTCATTCACTTTTTTGGCAGGCTTCCAATCAGAGTGCAGCGTAAACACGATTTACCTTCATTCCCAGGCATCAATGCCAGTATTTACCCTGGTATATATTAATTGAATATTTATTGTTATTATATTTATTATTAAAACAATAGTAACTGATTTTATTCGAGTGTTCTGACTGAGAAACAAGGTCTGTTATTTTCTCGCCCTTGTACGTATTCATATTTAAGCCCTTTGTTTTCGTGGGTGAACCATTATTTTGCGGGGATATTTTACACAGGAGTGCTAATGATCAATTATATTATCATGATAAATAGTCTAAAAATGGACAAGCATACATACAATGGCATGCGGGCAGGGTGAATACTTGTAATGTGAAAACCAACATGGAGTTGATCAGCCACAGCCGTGACTAAAATCACCGAAATTTGGAGCCTAGACTGCTTCGGACAATACTCGACTCAATTTTCCGTATGAAATGACAGGTAAGGCGTATTTATTTATTCAGAATTTCGACAAAGTTCTGTGTTGTAGCACTGGATAACGCCCATTTAATATCCACTCCCCACTTGTGCGAACAAGTAATGATATTATGCATTTTTCAAACTATTGTCATACCACTAAAAAGGTTGACCCCACCGGGTTTTTTTCCAGGGGCTGTGTGAATAAAATACACGTATTTGAAAATATAACATAAATTGAGACGAGAAACTCACAGCCGACTTGTTACTGTTCTCGGGATTATAATAATATATATATATCAAAATTACATTATTGCGTCTGTGTTATGATTAAAACCAATACTATTAGTAAAACATTTCACCAGATTTCGTCGTTCTAAAATAAATATATAGCATTACACGATACTTTTCGCCAAATTTCCGACGTGCGATCAGGTGTGCTAAATAACAAGATATGTTTCAAAATCGGCATTCGAAGAAATGTCACAGACCCGCCAGCTTCACCCGTGTCTGGACGATGGAAAAAATAAAAATAAAACAAACCTAATAGTAATCATATATACAAATACCAGTACTCTTCTCCAGTGTTCATGAAGTAACTAAACTCTTATATATAACTGCGTCTACAACTTTCTGTAATCCTGTACACAGTGAATCCAACTACCAACAACTGTTCAGAAGTGTTCAAGTGTAACTTTAATATATGTAGGTAAATTGATATACCAAGCCATGAGTTATATTACAGTCTGACGTATTAGTAATTATCATACATGGAACAAAGTAAATAACGAAAGCGGGTGACATATTTGATCAACACAGTCGTTGTGTAACCACCTGTTAGTTTTAATACACAGTTTATGAGCTGACATTCGAAATTTATAAACGATACGCTCTGTCTATTACTATATAATAAATATCGACTGCGATCGAATTCAACCTTAATTTTGCGTAATGTATAACTTAGAAAACATTTGCATTTTCTCGAAATCTTTGTTTTGCGGATGTGCCCAGCTTACAAAAACCGATTGTTCGCACACCAAGATAAAAAAAATTATATGTATATGTATCAAGTTGTCAGTCAGCGATATAGGGCCATATTATAATTATATTTTACGTATACAAATATATAATTCAATATGACCAGGTTAAACTGTGGTTAAAGTTACGGATTTATTAGTATAGTAAAGAAAATTACACGTAAGATATACAATACAAATACGTTTAATATACAATCACAAATATGTCACCTAGATTCGATATTATATCAACAGTCGTCAGTAAGTAACTGCAAGTAAAAGTGTAGATTTTCAAAATTGTCTGCATGCAACACATTAAAACCAATATTGCAAAATAAAATAAAACAGAACAATTCTATGCGTGAATCAAGCCCTCCTGTTCATAACGATTTGTGATTTTTTTCCTTACCTATGTATTATAAATTACCACCATTAGACAGACAAGTATGGTCGCCCGCAGTACAGCTTAAATTAATACAAAACGAGAACATATTATTGCTCCCTAAAAACATTATACCATATAGTGTCAGTTGAACGATAGGGGCTGAATATTAAAATAGAGAATATAAAAAAAACACAGTTATGGTTAAACAGTGAGCCATTCGTCAGATTCGCATTATATGATTCGCGGTATGAATTGACGTGGACACGAGAAACCCATAAGAAAAACGTCTGCTTAACATGAGACAAACGTAACACGTTGGATTCACACGATAAAAATAAAAACAAAAACAAACATGACATGAGACAATACGACTTTTGCCTCAAATAAGACATAGTATGCTTTCGTTTCACATGATAGAAACAAACATAACCTTTTGAACAACATTACAGAAACTGTGCGATTCTGTGTAATTTTAGCAGTGAGTAGCACGCTATCATTTAACGACTATTCTACGGTATGATGCTCCACTTTACCTCAGACTAGTAATATTACTAGTCTGAGATTTTACCGTGTCTGCCCAAATAATAAAGACACGTTTTATATTCGTAAATAACTGACTTGTGTGTGTTATTAATTTTCTATTCTGTCTGATTCCATAGTCACAATACAATATTGGGTAAGCTGAGAATCGATTTAGTATTGGGTCACTTAATATATATTGTACTTTCGTAAAAATATATTTCCACCATAACAAAACGCTTTTTATTCACATAAGACAAACAACACTTTTGAACTACGTGGGACAAACATAACACTGGTGCCTCAATGAGACAGGCATAACACTTTAGATTCAAATGCGATTTCGAGAAGTCTTGGAAAGAACACAATTGTGTACGTCAACAGTCGTTAGCATAGTCATTACCATATGATCTTGTTGAGTCCAGTGCGGACAAGGTAATTTCAAATTTTCTCCAGTGACTTACTGACAGTGACAGAGACACGAGTGAAATTCCCTAGTGCTTTTCGTGCAACAATATAATTTTATAAATGTATATTTTTGAACTCGTCGCTAAAAGTGAGCTCTACATATTGCATCTGTCAATGAATCGGCTTACGTCAAAGACATGCAGTGATGTCAATATCCTGTTGTTCGTGACAGTATTCTAAAAACAGTTTACACAGAAAGTAAAATACGGGTAGAGTGGTTGTGTGTGATGTGAAGTTTAGAGACAAGTCCACGTTTTAATTCAAGCTACACGGTATTTTCTACGTACTATCCATTCTACATCAACCCCGCGTGACAACCACCGCGTCAAATATAATCACCACGCAGTGGATATACATTTGGCTGTTTCTGACAACCCAGTTCAGGTAACGCCGACCCATAAACACCGTGACAGGTAAAGCGCATTCGTACTAGCTGACACGTAATGATATTATAGATCATACATTTTAATTGCAACAATCAATTTATGTCAGAGTAAAGTGTCAACGTTATTTATCGATTAAACCACTTTCTAGAAATTACATTGTTTGATTATTAGTAATTCATGGGTTATGATTGGTTGACATTTGACGTCATCGGTCCCATCGGACAGAATGTAGTTCATTTCACTAACCTTTTCCACATATTATATTATTTTAGCGTAAAGTATACATGTAATTTTGTGAGATGTCGTAGTTCGAACTCTCGTTTTATGATCGGGTATTCGGGTTACTGGTATATGTATTAAACGCAGTTTCTCGCTCTCGCCAAGGTCAAACAATTTACAATATGCACAATGTTATTGAATTTGATGTTAAATTATTGTAAGTATTGTAAGTTGTCTTTAGCAGATGTTTCAGTTTTATTGAAACGCATAGGAAAATTTGTACTACTATATGAGATAGAATGAACAACATCTAGGAGACCCAAAATGTCTCACCGAGAGTAGAATTTCGGTGTAATTTTGTGTAAATAAAATGAGATACACAATCTGCTGAAAGCAATACCATGATTGGACCAGTAAAAGATATCGATTACAAACACAGGTACTATTAGCAAAAATATTCGACAATCGACGAAACACAATATGTAGACTCATATAATATGCCACACTGCATGTTGTTACATAATTGATGTAAGCTATTAATATAATATATATATATATATCTTTTCAAATACTGATATATTTATACATGCCCCCGACTGTTATGCAAAAGCTGTTGAGCACGTTCACACAACTATAATTGGCTGAAGATGAATTTGAGAAAGAAAGTTTTTATATATTCGCACACTGTGTGGCAGGTAAAACATACGTTGATTTTGTGAGGTGAAAATTGAATTGAAAATTACATCAATATAAATAATATTGCGCAAGCCATTCATGCACATATTATGCAAATAGTTATCGATTTAGAAATTGTATATGCAAAAAAGACAAATATTACAATATGAAACAAGGGATTTGAACTTACGACCCCGAAAAATTTCGTTGCGTGTACAATTACAATAATTTATTGTGAACAGGTTACACCTGTTGCCATAGGATACCGTTAATATCAATATACTGATAATTACAGACCAAATACACAATACAAATATTGTGAACAGTTTAAAAGGTTATTATCATACTGATTCGATACTGTGCAGATAATCAAATTCGATATGAGTTCAACAGTCGGCATTGCGCATGAGTAACGGCAAATACACGTAAACACATTAAAACTACCATTACAAAGTACAATGAAAAAAACAATAACACACAAGTGTTCAAAATTTGACGATGGTTGCTGCGTTTAAATGAGAGTTTAGTTGCTACTGCCCATTGCCACAATTGTGTTAGGTCATTCTACGTATTTGTACAATTATTATATAACAGTTTGTCATTGCGATTTTGGTAAACTAATAATTTGATTATCAAAACCCAATATAAATTGTCCACATACTGTGACCTTAATGTGAAATTGTTTACATTAATAGAACACAGGGTCAATGCATATATTAGTGTTAATGGACGATAAAAATAGATACCCGTTTAGAGCAAGCGAAGCTATATTATATTTACATTAAAAATTCATCTATATTCATTATATTATGAATAATGATGACCAGCTTTATATTAAATGTATATCTATTTTACTGACACCGAAGATCGTCACATGACAATAATAAAAACAGCGCACTGCGTATATAAGTTCTCGTACAACTGCATTTTCAGTTTTTTGATAATTAATTGGAGGGGAGATATATATCAGGTAATGCATGTTTTTAATCTATTAATGTAATATAATATTTGTTTTGTTACACGTACAAGTAATTGCTATATAATTATTTTTCTTCTTTGCTCGACAGACTATGTCTGAGTCATCAAGAAGTGCACCCTTCAAAGCAAGCTGGCTATATGGGCACGCTGACTTGAACAGCAGTACAAAATCATCCGGCGACATGACAGAGTAAGTATCATAACATATCGAACATTTTCGTCTGGCGTGCATAATTGTACACGATAATTAAAAAAGAGAAACTACTATTATATCTGTCAAAAATGAACTTAAAACGAACTTAGAAAAATGAACTTAGAACTTAAACGCGCCGTAATAAAGAATGGCGATAAATACGATATGCTGCGGTGATGGATTTATGACTTTCTTTGTTTCATTTTATCCAGCATCACGGATGAACGCGGGTTTACCGACAGAAAGGATTCTTCACAACGGCTGAGCGTTACGTACGCAAATCCACCCAGCGTCATCGTGGAAGAAAAAGACACGAAGGAGGGCAGAGTTGGGTGTTATGCTATTTCTAAAGAGTATATGAACAATACCACTGCACATGGCATACCTCGTGTTATACAGTCAAAGTCGACATGTGGTCGTATCATGTGGAGTCTGATATGTGTATGTGCCCTGACGGCATTTCTTGTACAGTCGTCGCTCTTGATTATACAGTATCTAGAATATCAAGTCAATAACAAGGTAATAAAACATACGTGGCTTCTTAATTCACAAATCATTTAATTAAAACTTGTATGAATAATTAACATCACCATCGCAAGGAGCATATAGTTGGTATTGCGAAAACACATCAGTGGAGCTAGAATGATATTTCCCGCATGGAAAAACATAAAATTAAGCCAGCATTTTTTTTAAATGTACCTTCATATGATGGATATTATTTTATCAAAAATATACTTTATACTGTGGCAAGTTTACGCGACAAAAGGTTTCGTGTGTTAACATCCACAGTCGGGAGTACCAGTTAGTAATCCATACACATACGGCGATGGATGTAAACGTGTTATATGCAATGTATCTATTATGCACTGTGATGACTAGTCGTTGTAACATGCAATTGTTCAGGATATACACGTACTGCCCAAATCAAATAGATCTAGAATTGTTTTCGAAAATGTCAACACTAAGAGTTCAAGATATAACCAAGTTCTAAACCAACTTCTGAACTCAGCAACACTAAATCAATATATTGCATCCTTATATCTCCTGTGCTTGTCACAACATCGTCTGATCTTAGTAGCGTGACGTCACGAAAAAAAACTCATCAAAATTGTGATTAATGGGGTCAGAATACAAAACATTGAGCATGGCAGGCACATTTAGTTCCGAGTAATTATAATGCCCACCCATGAGGGATAATGACCTTGATATGACAGTGAAGCATACACAACACCCATAAATCATCTTAGTTGAAATCTAATGTATTTTTAATACGTTTTTAAATATAACACTCTCACCAGTCAGGCTTCTTGTTTAATAGACTATTCTTAACTCTTTTAAAATGTTTCCTATATCTACCCCATTCCTTCAATTGTTGCCTCCGCTGTCCTAGACACATCTTGAATATGTGGCACAGTGTAATTGCTAATTAATTATACATATACATCGCTGCGATGATGAAGATGATGTATTCAATTGTGGTTAACATATTTGCATGTTAATTGGATAGATGTATTCTATAAATTTAACATGTATCAATAAAACATTGATAACACTATATTAACTTTGTATGGTGCGACTGTCCAAACATTTAATCATTTCATTACATTCATTCATTCATAAACGTGGACATATACAGCCATTATGATTGGTTGGTTTATGTGTCTAAGTGCGTGGTGGTGGTGCATGCAAGCCAATGCTCCAATATTTTGTCATAATATTAATACCATAATACGATAAAAACTTTCCGTTTTCGACATTGGACAATTCTTGTGTTTTCATGCTGAAAATAAAGTAAAACTTATTTAAGTTATTGTTCATATATAAGTTGTTGAACACACTGCATAGTTTCAATTTCATTCATGGTTCTTGCAATCGTAATTCATAACAAATAAAATACAAAAGTATAGATAATATAGCAATTTTTTTTGTTTCTGTAATATTCTTGTGTAATTGGTTATTATTAAAATTATTATTCTTAACATATTTCTGAATTTTCTACTCAAAATCTGACCCACCCCAAATGAAAGAAATTTACGAGGTTGAGAGCGGAAAGTGTGTATTGCAGTGTCTGTACAACTTATATGTGCAACAATTATCATTTCAGAAAATGTCAACAAATGGTATTTTAATATATATATGTTTATGTCTGTATGTACCTGGAACAATTGATTCGTGCCAAGTGTAACACATGGCAATAGCATATAATACACACCTTGTATATTGTGGTACAATATGGCACATCATCAGAACTTCCGTCATTTTAATACTTTTAATTGATATAAAAACAGTGCATACTCCCTATTTAACACAGAAAACAAAACATGTGTGACCGACACAACCGTCATTCACAAAGTTATATTGCCAAATTTGCATTTATCATATCAAAAAAATGATAAATTCCAGAATTAGTCCTATTTTTGACCCGTGACACGGTATTCCGTCAGGGATAGATTCAAATTAAAAGATAAGCGTAAAATAATTAAGTTGCATGAATAATTTATTCTTATAATACAAAAAAGACCGTTTTATGCAATTAATTACACTGCATCCAATTTAGTAATGTATTTTTCAATGGACATAACATTAAACAATATGACTACACCATTTACTATTGTTTTAATTTTAGACATTCCTTTTTGAAAACTAAAAAAACAAAAGCACGTAAAATGACACCTATAACGTTAAATTGTGCGTAATATTTTAGCACACAGAAATGAACAATGTGGAATATTTAAATTTCTCACCAATAGCATATGTTATAACATTTAGTTTATTCATCTCCTATGAACAAATTGTCTTAAAACCAGAACATTCACTATTATGTATGTGCTGTGACTTACTAAGGTTAAAGTTGTATCCAGTACATCATTGACGTTCCCAAGCATCACTGTCTGCAATACAAACAAACTGCGCAAGTCAGCCATCAGCCAATCACCACATGCCAACATTCTGCTCGTGGACGAGGGTAACATACTCCCATACTACAGTAAGTAAATACACTTTCTTTCTGTTGACATAGATTGCACTTAGATGTATTGCTACGCCACTCTACCGAAATTGAAACTACGATTGCAACCAATATCACTCTCTATTGAGTAATAGGCACATGTGTCTTACAAATGTGTTCGGGACTATGTTCGAAAACGATCCGTGGTACATCGTGGACATTCCAGGATGTAAACTAGTTCTTACAATTAAATAAATACTAGTACATCATTAGTATATTAGACCCATTTTATATGATATTTCAATCGTGTGCATGCGACGCAAAACTTAATATATTGCCAAATATTTTGATTTTAATCATTTCCATGAGATAGCAAATTTAGTATTTCTTTGGCAAATTTTTAATTTATTATCAGTATCAGTGTGTTTAAATTTCCGCGAAATAACATTATGGCATTTTACGTCTGTCAAACAACGGCCAAATAAATACGTGAAATCATTAATTACTAAGGACGTAGAATTGGAAATTACTCCAAATAAACAAATGTCCAATTCGGGAACAGGATATATATTCGGTTATTGGTGCAATAGTAGGGCGCCACCAGACGGCTTAGCAAGTGCGTCGTGTTTCTATCATGAAGTTGACGCTGATTGTGCACAAAGGGGCTTAGCCGCTCATCCCGCCATTGGATGACGGCACATCGTGTATGTGGTGTTTACAAAGGACGTGCAGATGATCCGTGGTTCATCGTGACCAATAATAAAATGATTGGTTGTCCAACTGTGGGCGTGTCTTTTATTTCTGTGCTAAATGTGCAACACCAAAGTCCCGCCATTTATTTCTCATGGTTGTTCGACCATAGTCGTCTGCATCAATATCATGAGTTCTAAGTTTGGTTTACTATGTTGGTAAATCCGCGCAAATTCATTTTACCGCCACTTTACAGCGGTATTCACACAGACACCAGTTAATTCCGTTACCCAATGGCTGAAGCAATTTCACCAGACCAGACACGCCCCAAAACAGATGACGACATTTGACAGGATCGGCCAATGCGCATGCGTATAACACAGCTGGTACTAATATCCTAATATCTTATTTTGCACTCGTACAATGCAAAATACATATTTGATTAGGTTGGTTGGCCATCAAGTACCATCCTATGGCACCCAATTCATATATCACCAATACCATAGTACAGAGTTAAGTTAACAACGAGTCAAAAATAAGACTAATATACTAAATTTTTATTTAATTAATTAATTGTAAGGATGGGATTACATTGTGAAATGGCCACGATGTACCGCAGATCGGAAACGTAGCAGGAAATCCAACAAAGCGAGCATTACTTGGATTTCGCCGGCTACTTTTGATTTGTGAAACTTACCTTGTAATTTTCATGTGTAGGTCCCTGTTTAGCTGGTGACTTTGCGTGTAGCGATGGAATCGCATGTATCAAGCCCTACTTATTATGCGACGGTATTCGACAGTGCTCAAATGATGGTAGTGACGAAAATGGATGTGTATATGGTGAGTACAATGTTACGTACCCACAAGTTAAATTAAGATTTTATTAATGAAGACAGTAAGCTGAAAAATAATGTCTTAAAAATAAAGATGCATATAACACAGACACACATAGACAAGTAATATAAAACGCAATGAAACAGTACGTGCATGATGAAATAAATAATTCAATCTGACCTGCACAAATGGAGCGTGAAATAACATTGATGAAATTCATGGAAGAAATAAACATCGTTATAAATATCGTTGTCTGTCCCATAAAATGAATCATTCAATCCAAATTATTTTCTCTGTATCCACAATGTCTGAAAATGTGTAATGTCGACCTCCCTTTCCACCATGACTGATTTTACTGTTGGCGATGTTATCATTTTCAGGTACATGCGGCAAAAATCAATTCCGATGTCAAAATGGAAGTCCCAGAGGGCCGTGCATTCCAATACGCAAACAATGTGACAAAGTTGCAGACTGTTACGAAGCAGAAGATGAACAGAATTGCGGCAAGTAATAACTCTTATGTACTGCAGTCATGTGGAAGAATTTGGTGTCAGTTTAAATATTTACAGTTTTGAATATGTAATTACGTAACAGGTTATAAAGCATGGTTGTCCGATGTATAATTTGTTCGAGATAATTAATGGCATATAGTGTTATCTATCTAAATTATGCGTTAATATGGAATACTAGAGCGCACAAAGCTGTCTGAAGAGTCGTCACCTGCGCATGCGTCAGATAGCCATAGCGTGTCATTGTTCACAAACAAGCGTCTACCCACACGAGCCATTTGCGTTTTTAGTGTGTGCTGTTATCGTCGCTTGGGACTCAATTCCCGCGCGTGCGCAGGTGATGACCCTCCCGCTTTAAATATAACCATATAAAGATGTCCCAATTTTACCCAAATATTGCTGTAGACACAATTGCATGCACAATGATCCTACACAATACTAATGTCACATTAGTTCATTCGAATTGTACATGTTGGGGTTACGTACGCAGTTCATATTTACTGTCATTCAGCATAGTATATACCATGCAATCATGTATATTTATCACGGAGAAGGTCGGCGCCGCATGTGCATAACGATATAAAAGCAAAAATGACACAGGAACACGTATAAATGTACTAAGCAGGATTTACATTTAAAGTCGTGAACATTCTGAACAATTATATTTACAATAAAAACAGACGTGCACGTTGAAAATGTAAAATTAAATTGACAGAACATATGATATTTATTTTTTAAATTATCAATCAATTAATCAATCAATCAATCAATCAGTCAATTAGTTATTCAATCAATTAGTTATTCAACAATTAGTTATTCAATCAATTAGTTATTCAATCAGTCATTCAGTTTTGCATCATACGAAAGATTCAATTTCAATTTCACTTCTGTGGTTAAATATAGAATGCAGAATGCAAGAATTTAAATGTACCGATGCTGGTAACTGTCTTGAGAAACACAAAGTTTGCGATGGTCATTCGGACTGTGGTGATGGATCGGATGAAGAAAATTGTCCAGATGGTGAGTTTTGATGTCACACAACAAGACATTCAAATATGACACACGTACGTTTTATATATTTATTAATTAGAAAATATTTGATTTTCAAGTTCCTGAATATATATATTGATCTTACAATGGGTGAAAAAGGGTCATGCCGGTTTTTTGAGTTTATGTTATTTTGTCGTCAGATTTTTCCATGACAATGTACATTACTTACATTAAGAATGTGTTATTTCAGTCAAGCATTGTATTAATGGTTTTCTGTGTGATCGAAATGTGACTTGTATAGCAAATAGTTTCAAGTGTGATGGTAGTTATGACTGTAATGACAGAACCGACGAACTCAACTGCGACCTTGGTGCACTGGTACCAGGTAAGTACATTTAAAATATAATTACCATTTTTGAGGGCTGTTTTAAACTCGCTGTGACAGTTGATATATGTGACAGTTGAATTGTCTTTTGTTATCTAGGTCCCTCGCGATCGGATTCTCAATCTTGTTTTTTCTCGTTCTAATCACCTAAACATACTCAACACGATATTTCAGTCTAATAGTCGTTGTTAGTAGAGCGGTGACTGAAGCAACCACCGCAAGCTCTAATTTTAGTCAATTATTTGCGAAAGGATATAACGTTGTTCATTCTAAAATATTGTGACACAAAATTAAACCTACAAAGTCGTATTAGCCAATCCATAGCAATGACTCATCATATTCGAACATTGAACCAATCACAGAAACTGCCGTCACGTATTGATAGCATAATAGTGTCGCCTTGTAAGTGTAAGTGTAAGACTTAGTTAGCGTTGCATTGGGTCAATAACTCGCTTTAAACTACCGTTTAAATAAAATCTGATGACGACATATATTAGTATGCAAAAGAAAATTATATTATATGTAACCATTAAAATACATAACACACATACAAAAATTACGTTGTAAATTTATCAAATTATTTGTTGACATATCTGTATGGGATTTAGAAACTGTGAATTAAATTTATGTTCGCGAGATGCTCTCATGGGATAGAATTTTGCCAACTCTTAACTTATAAATTGATATAACACGAGGTAGCTCCGATCCCAGTTGCTTAGTACGGTGCTGTACGATTTATAATCCATTATGTTTACGATTTTGTTTCATTTACCTGCAGGATTTTGTACAATTGATCAGTTTCGATGTATGACAGGCCAATGTATCCCTGAGTATTTCAGATGCGATGGTACATTTGACTGTTTTGATCAGTCAGACGAGGACCCAAATATGTGTGGAACTGGTATGTATGTACACAATATCTTATAGGGCGGCGGTCGTCGCGCTGCGCATTTGCTACATTTTTGTTGATAAACATTGATTTTCCCACAATCCAATGTGCTAATTACCGCCGGTGACTCCTTCGATACCCTTCAATCATCTAAAATACCTAATTAAAGTTTAGTAACGTCTAAATTTGTACTCATTGATCTGCGCAACAGCCAAAGTCGCCATCTTTCTTTATATGATACTCATATATTTCGCGCAAGTTTGGCGCGACGACTACCGCCCTTTAAGTTCCCTCCATAATAGATCAAACACAATTCCCGATCTTAATTTAAGATTTTCTGCACCATGTTTGTCAGTATCAAATCTTCCTATCGTAATCTTGCCTAATCTCTGCACTTAACGTGTTATTATTATTGTAGGTAGCAATACGAGGTGGAGAGACGATGCTCGCTGTGGCCCAAACTATCTTTTGCCCGATGGCAGTCCCGCTGAGTGCGACCCTAATTCCGAATTCTATTGCTGCTCCCCTTCTGATTGGTGCGGTAATAGTTTTGCTCACTGTGAATGCATCGGATGTATTGACTACCGTGGTAAGTCGTGATTATTTGTCTCACCTAAAATAACGTTCGTAATATGCAACAATGCATATTAATTGCTCAATTTGCATACTTATCTAATTGGATTGTAAACCTTCGTTATATTCATGTCCTTGTTCGTTGTGTTGAAATACGATTTCTGCAACGGAATGAACTCATTTGCATATTTATTTTTTATTTCGAATCTGAACCGCCTCGCCATACAATAACCAGACTTCAGAAATTAGATCGGCTGAAATGCTCTGATGACGTAATATTGAAGTTCAATTTTGGAAAGATTATTTTATTATTATATTATATTATATTGGTTTATTTAAAGGGCGATGGTCGTCGCGCTGCGTCGTGTTCGACGTGGGACTCATAGCGACGTATACAACGCGTGTAAAATATATTGTTTTTTACATGAAACTTGAACACGCGCTGCGCGATGACCACCGCGCTTTAATAAATCTTGCACTATTTCAAACCCGAATACAGTTCGTGACAACGTTGAAACATTTTTATGCAATATAGAGCTTAAATTTTTATTATTATTATTATTATTATTATTATTATTGATGATTTGACTTTGAGCCTGGACAAAATAAAATGAATATAAATTGAATAAACGAGGGGTGAACGCGAAAGTCATGTGACCGCAACAA